GAGATTCAAGCTCCCGCAGGGCCTCTGTGCCCTGTTCTCAGGCTGCCACCGTGGCAGCAGTGTGAGGGGGGAGCCAAGGTCACCCCCTCTGCATTCCATCTGGCCGTCCCGGTCTAGTTTCAGGACGCCTTTGAGCTTCTCAGCTCCTCTCTCTCTCCGGTGCTGCATGTCCAAAACTACTCTCCAAAATAGGAGTCCATGTCCCTCCTTTTCTCAGAGGGGTCTCAAGGGAGTTTTGGGGTCTGGTATTCAGTCTTACCCCAAACTCTGTAGCTCTGCTGCTCTCTCTCTCTCTCTCCGGTTCAGGTCTTATCTGTCCTGGCTCTCTGCCACTGTTTCTCTGGTCAGTGCCGGCTGCTGCTCTGCGCCCATGGAGAAAAACATCTCCCGGCATACTACAGACACTTAGCACAGTCTAAGACTGTTCCAAGTCTCTGCAGTCTCCCCAGCCGGGGCTGGGAGGGGACCAGAGGCCCCAAGGGGCTCAGAGCCCCTTCCTCGTGGCTCTACAACATGGTCACCACTCCTCAACCACCAAAACTACAACTCATCTCTTCCGGTGAGCTTGTGATATGTTTACATTTTTGCAGGAGCGCCCTTTGGGCAAAACTTCAAAACATCCAGGGGTGTCCACCCCTTGGGGTCTACCACTTTTCAGCCTCTGGGGGAAAAAACAAGGTCCAAACCACCACAAGTGTCTAGAATGAGGAAGAGCAAGCACTTTCACCCTTCCCACCTTCTCCTTATAATACTTTACACTGACTAACTGGCCAGTGTTACAACAAAAACTTTGAAAGATTTGTCTACAATACTAAGTCCTTGCCAAGCAACCTCTCTGAGTTAAGTAACCTAGTCAGAAGACTTTTATCAGCTTGTATGTAACTGCAGCAGCCAAGAAACTTTGTAAGTTTATGTAATACTAGTCCTGGAGGTGATGAAGCCTTATCAACTGCAATATTTTTTTTTCTGACACACAGCATCTCATTGATGATCTTTTAAAAACAGCAACACTTTTCTGAGCAAGCAGCTGCACTGACTGGGTAATAATCTCAGCATATAAAATACTCTGTCTTGAGTTTATTTGGAAAAGAATAGTCTTTCATGAACCAGAGTATTTCAGTTTGATCCTTGTAAATCTAGATGAACCTTATTTTTATTTTACTCCCAATTCCAAAAATATGTGGGTAAATCTGGAGTAACTTTGGATCAATGATCTCTCCTGGTTATTTAAAACTATACAACTGAGAAATCAAGAACAATGGCATTGTATAAGACTATCGTTAACATAATTGAGATCAGAACCTGAACCTTCGTGTTTCCACTTTTCTTCACTTTTTATTTCATAAAAAATTATAGGTTGGCTTCTAAGTTGGTGTAAATCTGCATTGATTTCTGTCTGGCATCAGTTATAACAGATCCTGCTGTGTGTTCATAGCAGTCTCATTCTCTTCTATGAAACTATCATGTCAAGTATATGTAGTATCCATTTTCTTGAAATGGAATATGATTTACAGCTAAGCTGTAGAGATAACAGATTTAAGGATAATGTATGCTATGCAACAAAGTGTATTTATGGGGTCAAATCCTGTCATTTGTTTGATCTAAACAATGCATAATTGCTTCTTTTGACTCCAAGAAGAGATCTCTAGTATGCAGTAGAACATGGGGTAGAAATCCCTGGATTAACTCTAGTGCAGTGCTCAGCACAGATATTTGGTAGGTAATGAAGATAAAAATTCTGCAGCTTCACATCATGCTGCATACCAGAGCATGCTACCACCTAGAGATGTTCTATTTATGAATCTATGTGTTCTCTGCTTCACTAGTAACTCCTGAAAACTAAGATCTACTTTATGCATCCAATTAATAATTTATGAAGTTTTTCTCTAAATTTTCTGCAAGTGGCTAAACCTGTCATAAGATCTTCTCTTTATCATGTGCTGAAGTCCACAGTCATACAGATTACTCCAACAAATTTAAAAGTAGTAAACAAAGAGCTTGTTTTGTCTACCTTGACTTTTCCACACTAAAGACTTCTAAAATTATCAAGTCCAACCGTTAATCTAAGTGCACCACTAAACCATGTCCCTGAGAGCCACATCTACTAGTCTTTTAAATACCCCCAGGGTGGTGACTCAGACACTTTCCTGAGTAGCCTGTTACAGTGCTTGCCAACCTTTTCAGTGAACAAATTTTTCCTAATATCCAATCTAAATCTCCCTTAGCACAACTTGAGGCCATTTCTTCTTGTCATATCATTTGTAATTTGGGAGAAAAGATTGACTCCCACCTGGCTACAGCCTTCTTTCAGGTAGCTATAGAGAGCCTCTTTTTCACCAGACTAAGCAACCCTCAGCCAATTCTCATAAGAGTTGGGCTCTAGACCGTTCACCACCCTCACTGCTCTTCTTTAAATGTGCACCAGCACCTCAATAATGTAAGTTGATATGTGTTTTCAAAATAGTAAGTGCAACAAAACCAGCCTCAAAGAATGTGATATTCAGCATTCAGATTTTGCTGCCTGGCTTGGAGCTGAATCTGTCATCATTGTCCAGGATGTTCAGTGAGGGTAAAAATGGAAGCAACATCCCACAGCCTAACAGAGCACCGTCTCCTTGCAAATGAGACATTACCCTATGTAATAGGTTTCTTTTGGGAGCATATGATGTTTATAACAGCCTTGAGACTTTTCTAACTTACACCAGGCCTCAATCAGTCATAGCTGGGTCAACCCACTACATCTACAAACAACAGAAGCTCTTGTATTAACNCGTGAGACCCTGGTGGGAGAGGCCGTTTTGAAGGGCTCCCCGGCGCAGGAAGGCAGCGGGGAGGAAAAGGGCCGGAGATCCCCCCACAGGAGGGGCTCCAAAGCCATCCCAGGGTGCTCTGAGGAGGAAAGAGCCAGCCTGTGCCGGGAAGGCGGCCGGAGCTTGAGAGGTAACTCTGACCTGGTGGTCCCTAAGCATCCTCCCAGCAGGGAGAAGCCCTTCAGGTGTTTGGAATGTGGGAAGAGCTTCAGGAAGAGCACCGATCTCCTCAAGCACCAGCACATCCACACTGGGGAACGGCCCTACATGTGTAGGGTATGTGGGAAGAGCTTCAGGGACAGCTCCACCCTGATCCGCCACCAGCGCATCCACACTGGGGAACGGCCTTACACGTGTGGGGAATGTGGGAAGAGCTTCAGCCAGAGGTCCCACCTCCACACCCACCAGCTCATCCACACTGGAGAACGGCCCTACAAGTGCTTGGAATGTGGGAAGAGGTTTCAGACCAGCTCACATCTCCTCCTGCATGAGCGGATGCACACAGATGAGAGGCCCTTCCGCTGCACTGACTGCGGGAAGGGCTTCAACCAGAACTCCAACCTCCTCACCCACCGGTGCATCCACACTGGGGAACGACCCTACAAGTGTGGGGAGTGTGGGAAGAGGTTTCAGACCAGTGGGAGTCTCCTCCTGCACCAGCGGGTGCACACAGATGAGAGGCCCTTCCGCTGCACCGACTGCGGGAAGGGTTTCAACCGGAACTCCACCCTCGTCACCCACTGGCGCATCCACAGCGGGGAGAAACCCTACAAGTGTGGGGAGTGTGGGAAGAGCTTCTCCCACAGCTCTACCTTGACCAAACACCAAAGGACCCACTAATAAAAGAAGCCCTAGTGCTCCGACTGCTGGAAGAGCTTCTGCTGCTGCTTCCACCCCGAATGAACCCCCTGATGCTGAGGCAACCCCTGGAGTCCAGTGACTGTCAGTCCATCCCTTTCGACCAGAAAGAGCCATTCCCCTTTCTCAGGGTCAGCTTCTTCCAACAGAACCCTTCTTGGGGGCTGTGTGGAGATTCCTGCCTTGGCTGGGGACCCCCCAAGGTCAATTCTGGAGGTTGAGAGCAGAGATCTCCCCACGAGCGTTGGTCTGGGGGAGTTCCATCCATCTCTAATTAAGAGTTATTGCTTTTGTGTCAGCTTGAGTAGAATTGCTTCAACAATTGCTTTAGTGTAGGGCACTGTCCTGTCTTATCCTGTACTCCTGGTAGTTTTAGTGTTTCTCTTGTGCAGTAAATAATTCAGATGAAGATCTTTTGTCTGATCGTTTGGAACCCTAAATAAATTTCTTTCTATTAATAGATCTGAATTGCCATCATTAAACCTGGGGGACAAATGTGGTTCAGTGACACCTCTGTAATTCCTCTAAACTGCAACTGTTGGCATGATCCAAGGCTGAGATTGGATCCAGCAGCCCCCACCACCCCACAGAAAGTTGGGAGCTCAGGGGGGCCGCCCCCCTTTGGCAACCTCCCTGTGTCCAAAGACCCTCATGGGACCATCTGTCCTGCCAGACCACCCCCCCTTTTCCACCCTTCTCTCTGTTCCTCCACTTTTTTCATTGTCCCCTCAATCCACAGCCCCCCCAAGATCAATTGATGGTTCCCTACCCTCCCTTTTTTCTTCCCTCTCCCACCCCTTCCACATCATTCCACCACTCCTCAGCCCCCTCATGGTCAGTTTGGAGGTCCCACCTTGCCCTTTCCCCACTCTTGTTGTGGCCCGATGGTGGAGTGGCCACGCCGTGGCCAAGCGACCGACGGCCAGGAGTGGCAGTGGCGAGAGGGCAGTGGGAGAGAGCCCCTCGCCGACATCACAGAAACCCCCGAGAGCGCCAGCGGCTGCAACTCCGTGCTGTGCTGAGAAAGCGGGACCAGCTCGGCACAGCTGCAGCAGCTGCGAGGCAGCCCTGGGACAGAGCAGCGCGCAGGGACCGTGCGGGAGCCGGGGCTGGGCAGCGGGAGCGGCGGAACCGGCCTGGGAAGCAGCGGAGCGGCGGCAGGAGAGGGAAGGGGAGGCGAGGGAAGGGGAGGTGAGGTGCGAGCCTGGCCTCCGGTGTCCCCCCGCGGGCGGCTGTCTGCGAACCCCCCGCACTCGGAGCGAGCCTCTGGGACAGGGCTTGTCTTGGCAGGGACGCCAGGCTCGGAGTCGGCAACGGCTGGAGCGAAGCGGCACCACCCCCCCACCTTCTTTTCTTTTTTCTTCGCAGCCTGAGTTGGCTGTATTAAGAGTTGGGTTTAGTTCCTTTACAAGTTCTTTGTTCATATGCCAGTTAAACCTGACTGCTTCAGGCAAACAGAATGCTGCCAACGGAGACGCAGCAGTGATTTTTTTTCCTTTTTTCTTTGCAGCCTGAGCTAAGAATTATTCTTTATTTTTTGCAAAGCCTTTTTATTCATGTAGTAACTAACCTAAGAGTTTAATTTCAGTGCATGGACCCTGACAGCAGAGAGACAACACGAGAACCCTTTTTCCCCTCACCCCCCACCTCCAACTAAGAGAAAAAAAGGGGGAATACAGAAGGGCTGGTTCAGGAAATGGCCTTGGTAGCTGTTTTCTGAAGTTGTTTACCTGAAGTAGCCAAAATTGTTTTGAGATGCAAGCATAAGCATAACAAAGAAATGAAGTTTTTAAAATGTTTTTGCAATAACTATTGACAAGTTCTCTTTAAAATCCAAAGTCCATTAACATAAGGAGATGTATATTTGCTTTTAAAAATAGAAGGAGTATATATTTTATCTTTGAAGTATATGAATGTTGACATATTTTTGAATTTAAATTGAACATGAAGCAGAAAAATGTTTGTATTTACAGGAAATATTCTCATAAAACCAGAAATACATGATTAGATCTTACTCATCTGAGGGCAAGACACAAGAATGATAACTTCTCAGTTCATAACCAGAAAACACAGTAACATGAAACTCAAAAGTATGTTTATGTGAGAATATAAAGTGATGGCCATCAGGCATGAAAGTTGTGTGAGTGTGTGTATGTGTGTGGATATGTGTGTCATGGTTTGAGATAGCCCCAAAATCCAATCCCCTAGTCTAAGCCCCCTCCCACATCTCAACCTAATGTGAGATGGGTTTTTCCAGACAAAACACACCAGACTCAGAATGGGGGAAAGGGAATATATTACAATGACTGTACAAATAAATA